AGAATATTTATTGTTACAAATGACCAATCTAGATTTAAAAATAATAAAATAGTTACTTTATATGAAGATCCGAAAAATATATCACCGATGACTAATCAATCAACTAAATTTAACGACAACATTAAAAATAAATCGCGAACATTAACAAATTTACAAAAATCTTTGGATAATTACTCAGGAATAGATGTATTTTTAGATGTATATTGTGATAATTTTTGTAAAAATGTATCATTATTATCTGCAGAAATAAGGTTGAATAGCATTTGTTGGGGATGGATAAAAGTACATAGATCTCCAAATTCTATTTGGTTTGATTCAGAAATAGAATTATTACAACAAATATCAAATCAAATAAGTTTAGGTATTACTTATGCATTCATGTTAGAAGAGAAAGCCGTAAATGAAATTAAAATAAAAGCTGCTAATGCTGCAAATAAGGCAAAGAGTCAAATATTAGCTAATACTTCTCATGGTATATTATTCTTTTCTTGTTAATCCATTAATTTTAATCTCATTCCATTCTTATTAAATTCTCTTTCCATTATTATTCCATTCTTATGTGTAATAGAATTGCGAACACCACTAGGAGCGATAGTGGGCATTCTCTCTTCCTTTGAGAGTATTAACTTAAGCACTGATCAAAAAGACATGATTGATATCATGGCGCGCGCTTCCGATATGGTTTTATCTCTAATAGATGGCATTCTTGATGCAGCAAGATTAGAAACACTAAGAATCACTATAATGAATACAACATTTGATGTATTAGAATTATTTGAGAGTACGATTGAGTCATTTGGAAAAAAAGCTGGAAACAAAAAAATTGAATTAATTATAAATTGTGAGGTAGATAAATTGCCGAAATATGTTAAGAGTGATCCTGAAAGGTGATTAGAATTAATATATTTCCTTAAACTAAACAGTAAAAAAAATTATTACTTATATTATTTTGTCTCTTATTATTGTAAATAGGCTAAACCAAGTTTTGTCTAATTTATTATCAAACTCGTAACTATTCATTTTTTATGTACACACTCACGTATATATTTTATTTTTCATAACCTAATTAACCTAATTAATTGCATTTAATAATCATTCTTAATTTCGTAGAATTAAATTTACCGACAAGGGTAAAATTGTAGTGACAATTTCAATGCAATTACAAGATATCATTAATGAGGACAAAGATAAACAGGCTTACGGTCAAAGCATTAAAAAAGGAAATTTGTTGGTTGAATTATATGACACTGGCATTGGGTAAAATAATATACTCTATAGTTCAATATATTCTATGTCGTATATCATATATATTTAGCATTTAATCTAATGATTTATTTAATAATAATAGCATAGATCCAGAATATATAAAACATGCATGGCAAAGCTACTCACAAAGCGACATGTCAATGACTAAGGCGCAAGATGGTACAAGACTTGATCTTTCAATTTGTGAAAGTTTAATTAAAATTAATGGAGGTGAAATTAAAGTAGAAAGTCAATTAGGAAAAGGAAGTAAATTTTGGTTTACATGGAATGTTGAATTAATATCAATAGCTTCTTCATCATTAAATACTACTCATTTTAATCAAATAAGTCATGCGTTACCTCATTTTATGAAACAAAAACGGATATTAATCATTCATCCACTTAAAGATGCAAGAAATGCATTATTGAATTATCTTAAAGTAATTGAAAAAATTGATGCATTTGATACCTTTGATGAAGGTATTAATGCAGCAAAAAGTTATAGAGAATTGAATAATCAATCTGCTTATGATATAGCATTTATTGGACTTTATGAAAATAATGAAGA